GCTACCCCCACCCCCACCCCCCCCCCCACCCACACCCACACCCACACCCACACCCACACCCACACCCACACCCACACCCACACCCACACCCACACCCACAATCGTCGATGGTACCGATCTAATTCGTCAACTTCATCAATATGTAGCAAGTGATCGTCTACAACCATCAACATTATTCTGTACATTGGATATCGTCGATCTTTACACCATGTTACCACAAGAAGAATCAATAGATGTTCTTTGTGAATTTCTTATTGAAGATGGTTATAGAAAAATAGATGGTATTCCATTGGACGCCATACGAAAACTAGCTTGTCTAGTACTAACAGAAAACGTTTTTGTTTATGGTGAAAAAATCTATAGACAAACTCTTGGTGGAGCAATGGGATCACCATTCACCTTAACATTAGCCAACATATTTATGTGGAAATGGCAAAAAGAATTTTCTTCTCGATTAATTAATAACAACGAAATCTATGGAAGGTATTTCATACTTGAAAAAGTTTCTCGAATTACCAACATCTCTTTTTACATGTCATACATCTTTAGATACATTGATGACGTGTTTTTTACTGCAAATCAATCAAAAGAAACAATAGAAAAATTATTAATTGAAGCTAATAATTTTCATTCAAATATCAAATTAACTGCTACCATAGGAAAATCAATCAATTTTCTTGATGTTCATATTGAAAATAACGATGGTGTCTTATCAACATCCGTCCACTACAAAGAATCAGCTGAACCTTATGTTGTTCCCTTTAAATCTGATCATCCTCGACATACATTTGGAAATATAATTCGAGGTGGTCTAACGCGAGCTGTACGTTATTCATCATCAATAAAAGCATTCGATGATGAGCGTCGAAATATTCGATTGACATTATTGTACAACCGGTATTTGCATTTAACTAAAAATGTCTTTCTATCTACTCAACTGTTCTCTAACTCTAGATATCCATCAAAATTTATTGATGCACATTTTAGAAAATTCTTTTCCAATTATCATGTCATTACCTCCGACGTCTTACCGTTGATAACATCTGAACAAGAATTCTTTCGCATGCGGGTGAAAATTCTCGATATTCCAACTGCAAAACAATCTCAAACAAGTCAACAAATAGCACGTGTGATTCCAGATAATGACGACAATGAAAACATTATTATTCAACCAACTGAAGAACAATCACTAGTAGAAAAAGCAAAATGTTCCCAAAACCTTCTGATCCTGCATTACAAACATGAGAAAAGACTTCAATCATACAAACGGGACCTACATCAGATATGGCAAAATATTTTTCAAAATTCACCTCTTATCAACACCAAACTCATCGTCGGAACATTAAACAGCAATAATCTCACGCGCGAACTAGTACGTAAACGACCCAAACAATCGCTTCTCACGAACACAAAATGAAAGCCTTACGATATAACAACAATCTCAAACTTCAAAATTATAAAAAAACGAACATACTATGAAAAAAAAACCAAAACAATTTTTTCACTCGATTATACTAATAAATAAATCCTAACTAGAAAAGATATAAAACTATATATAAACTCTGCATGCTAACCATACTCCCAAAACAAATCCATGAAAATATTTATTATTTTAGATAATACACAGATATAGAAACTGTACGGTACCATAACAAACATACTCTACCAATCAACCCTGAGAAAATCCACCAACACAAAAAGAATCATCCCCAACCAGAACGTCAAATCAGAAAATCTAGATATTGGCAGCTCTATCACACCACTGTTCTTAATGTGTCACTACCACTATGTCTCTGACATAGCAGAGTAGTCAAATGTTATTCTAGTGTTTGATTTTCGTAATCATACAGAATTAACATTTGGTGATTAAAGCCAACTGATGATTCCTTTAGCCAGGATGAAATCTAGATATTGGCAGCTCTATCACACCCCACACCCACACCCCACCCCACACCCTGAATACCATTGTGATCTTAAAATGTAAATATATTGAAAAATCTGTAGCTAAACTTTGATATTTTTTTGAAGCTCAGTTTCATAGTAGTGCCTAAATTTTAACTTCAAAAGTAAAGTCAGAGTATCATGGCTAAATATAAACAAGCATATCTTTTGTTCTTTTTACTTAAAGTGATAATTCGAAATTGCGTCCAATTGACGTTACCAGAGTAGACATTCTTTCAGTTCAATCTCTGCATCCCTATTATCCCTGTTGATCTTTGTAATTTTGAAAGCTGTGTATGGCATTATTAAAACTTCTTTTTCCTCAGGAAATTCTGATAGTTCTTCGATATATAAACCGCTGCGTTTATTCCGTATATGATAGGTGCACAGAACTGGAATCCTGTTATCTTCTGTCGATCCTTGTTGAAAAGACATGGTAACATTCTTCAATATGGATGCAGACTGAAATAACTTTGTCATCATGCGTTGTCCCTCTACGTACTTGGCAAGTTCTGCCTTTGTAACTGCCATTCCACGATAACAAATTCCAGTGAAAGTAAAGTCATCAAATCGTTGATGATGTGCAATTATACCAGCAATATAAACACAAAATCGATTTATATCACGAGGTCCAATCCCTCGTATTTCTATGGAAGCCATATCTTCTCTGAACGTCTCATAAAGCAACGTCTGCATTGTGTAGGCGCGCACCAGGTACCTGGGATCTTCTTCCACTTCCGCTCTATCGAATAAATAGCGAATTTCATCAATATTTTTATCATCTTTCAATTTGACATCCACGTAGTAGTGCCGAGCGGCATATATCAACTTGTGCAAATCACGATCTGTACCATACGTTTTGAGAAGCGCACGTTGGGTGTGAGCGACATAATCTGCATCTGGCCCAACTAGCATCCATTCGCGGCTGATCGAGTTGCCAGTGAATCGCCTTTCATCCGAGCGATCAACTCTTGCAACTTGATAGTGAAGCCTCAGATGTCCAATTCTATGTGACAAGATTCCTAAACCGCAGAAAGAACCCGTAGAACGATAATCATTAAAAGACACATCGAATTTGTATATCAGCGTGCTTTCTGGTTAAAACAGCGTGAAGAGTCTAGATGTATATGAATGAAGGAAGACAAGCGCTAACCCATACATCCATACCCTCAAATTTGAGAGTAGCTGACAGTATTCTAAACTGTGTAGTGACAGGACTGAGCGAACAGTTTGGGCAAAAGCATACATAGTTTCGTTACAAATGAAAGAGAAAAACGGAAATTTTCCAGCATCAGAGGACTGCCACATCCGTGCTCATATTGTGCCTATACATTGACTGACGTGTTTGAATCAGTATGCAGGTACTGATCATGAATACTGATCAGAGATGGGATCGGTTCGTGTTTTTTTTGGAACCGAACCGACCTAATTTTTTAAAAACTTCAAACCGAACCGAATCGAGAAAATTTTAAATCGAATCGAACCGAACCGAACCCAGTCAAAACTTTTAATAGAATAAGCAATGTACAAAGCATCCCATAAGGGAAGATTAAAGCCATCGAAACATTAAAAGCCCCCCCCCCCCCCCTTAAAAAATCGATATTTTGAAACAGTATCTGGAGTTTATAGACTTGTTTAGTATGTAAGCCTAGAATGATATCGAAATTCAGTACGAACAATATCTTGCTTCCTCCCTCATAACCAAGTGTCAGGCTCGAATGAGTAAAATCCAGAGAAGCAGCTAATAGGAGGCAACTGTCTATTAAAGATTGCGTTTCTTTGTAAAAATATACAATGGAGTAATTTTAGTACTCCTTTGCAGCTTACTTTGAATACGTTCTTCAGACTCTAGACACGAAAAACACGCTTCCATAGTCATAGGATCTAATGAACGCAGTGCCCGTTCGTGCATGTAACACGTGAAGGCATCTTTGTACAATAGTAACAGATTAGGTAAAGTGCCGCTTTGTATTAATCAAAAGGTCTCTTTATCGTTGACTTTCTTCTAGAAAATCAGAAACATTTTCACCACAAAACAGTCTTTCATAATTGAAGAAAACATAACTTCATGCACAGCCTAAACAAAAAATTCTGGGACACTCAAGAATGGTTCTGCAAAATTTTATATTCCACTTGAAACAAACTTTATATATATTTCAAGTAAACCCCCTCCTGCATTAGAAGACCCCCCCACATTAGTAGACCCCCACATAATACAAGACCCCCCTGGACAAACTTT